TTTTCACACTTTGCCTCGCCTATGCCATGGCAGGTACCATGGCGGTTTCAGGCGCGCCCGCGGGAACCGAGGAGGCTCACCTAGGTGCAGATTCCAGCCTGTTTGTGGCAGTCCCTTTGGGCGTGACTATGACGTATTGGTTCCGTGCCAAGAGGACGGCTGCGCTTGTGTCGTCCTCGCGCAGGCTGTCATGGCTGCAGGCCCGCGACCAGGAGGAGCGCACCGAGTGGGTCGCCCGGTTCCGGGACTCCCAGAAGACTCTGGGACAGGTCATCAAAGAGGTTTTCGTTGCGCGCGACCCCCATTGGATTCCTCCTTCTTCGGGGCCGCCGGGGACCGGATCTGCCCTTCCCGAAGCCCCGCCTACGGTTCCCAAAGCTGATTCCCTTTTTCAAATCTTGGGCACCATCGCAGGTAAGAAAGTCGCCTCGTGCATGAAGGACGGGAAGCAATTGTGCAAAGACTTTCAGAGAGGCAGATGCAGCAAGAAGGATTGCACCTCAGGGGCCCACCTGTGTGGCGTGGTGGTCAGACAGGAGCGTGTGTGCGGTGGTCAGCATACACCAGCCCAGTGCAAGAACAAAGTGAAGCCATGATGGGGCCCCGAGCCCGATGAGGTAGGGCCGGGCTTGGGGGAGGTCTCTTCCTCACCTACCATCGCAGAGAGCGCTCAAGGGGCGAGCTCGTCGCGCGTGTTTCTGCACTTGCAGCCCGGCCCCAACGCACCATTGGAGAAGGCTTTCCATTGGTGCGGATGGCACGTCTTATCGGCAAGTGGCTTCGACGGTCATAGCCACGATCTTGCTGATCCTGGGTTGAGGGCAGAGCTTGCGGAGCTCTTGTCGAAAGCCGATTTCCTCCTGTCTTCGATGCCTGGCGAGCCTGGGTCTCGGGCAGGGGAAGTGCCCGAAAGCTTCGACTCGGTCATCTGGGCCGCAGGGCCGGGAGGTACCCGGGCCGAGCCGCCCGCTCATATACGCGGTCGCCGCGGACAATTCGGCACAGGAGGCTGGGGACTTGATCAGTGGCCGGGGCGGCGGTTGCGCGTGCGAGGCGCCGTCCAACTCTCCATGGTGGGCTTCGAGGGCCGAGGGACGGCCGTTCGATGCAGCGAGTTGGCATGACACGACATACTCTACCTGCGTTTTTGCCCATGCCAGGTGCAAGTCTCAGACCATACGGCATAACATCGACGAGCTCGCGCAAGGCCCCCCCCCTTGCATGCCAGCATGTGCATGATGCTTCGGAATGGGAGCCTTACGCGCTTGGCGACTCCATCGTCTACCCCAGTCACGAGGAGTCCGAGTGTACTGCCCCACTGGCGTTCTTCCTGGCGGTCTCGGTCTCTTGGTGGGCTGCGCGCCAAGGTCTTGCCGTTGCCAAGATCCATCGGCTCCCCCCATTCGAGGCGACCGGAAGGAAAGAGCATTGGCTGCAAATCGACCCCGATGCCCTTAGATCGAGAGCTATGGCACCTCGCAATATCACTGGGACTCCGGCCTGCTCAAATCCCGGGCGCAGCCGAGCTCCCGGTTCGAGCCTTGGCCAAGGACACAGTGGTGGACAAAGGTGTTTTGCCCAGCGGCTGCATCTACGTCGGACAAGGCAACTACCAGCACAGGCTCCCCACTTCGCAGTGGCGCGGCCCTTGGGTGGCGGCCTGAATTGTGATCCAGCCGAGAGGTTGACCCGATATGCGGAGTTCATCCTGACCGAGCTATGGAACGAGCTGGACCAGCTTTGGGGCATGACACTCCTATGCGATTGTCCTGTCGAGGTGCCATGTGAAGCCGATGTGTTGGCAGGCCTCCTCTTTGATTGTCGTCGCGGGGAGCCTGGTGATCACCATTGCAAGGCATCCGCACTGTGGTGGCCGGAGCGAATCGCACCGAGAACGGCACTCCTGCGTGGATCCCGAGTTGGGCAGGCGGTACCTGTCTTGTTCAGGCAGGAGGCGATTATCCTCCGCTTTCGCAAGCTGTTTCCAGCCGAATGGTTTCGGGGATTCCGCTTTCCTATGATCGAGGACATCATTAACCAGGCCCCGTTCGACTCTTTTGGCCTCTGGCTAGTCGCGCGGGGGGACGAGTGGGAGGGACCCCTCGTTCCCATCGCCACCGAGAAGCAGCAGCGCTTTCGGCAGCGCACGGCCGATGGACAACAGATTGGTGCCTCCAGCCATCGGGCGGCCATTCCTCCGTTGCTGCCCTTTGGCCTCACAGCGGATGAGCATTTTGAGCAGTCCTTGCACTTGGGCACGCGGCCACTACCGACGGAATTGCACCCAGTCTTGGACACCGACCTCATCTTTGCGGCGGACATGCATGCAAAGCACAGGGGGTCCCTGCGTGCCATTCGCCAGCAAGCCGTCGGGTGGGAGTCGGTCGGGGCACGGCTGCGAACACTGCAGCCGCAGGCGTTGCGCGAGGCCACGCGCTATCGGGACCTCGGCCTGACCGCCTTGCTCATCATCTTGACCAGCTGGGGTGATGTTACCTACCCGTTCGGGCTTACGCAAGGACTTCCAGCGGTCGGCTTTGCCCCGTCATACGGTGTCTTCCCCACCTAGCAGGCTCACGTCATCTCCTTTGAGGAAGGCTCGGTGACTGGCAGGCGCACAATGCAGTCACCATCCGGCGGCTCAAGCCTGGTCGGCTGGATGAAGTGCTGCTGGAACAGTCGCGGGCAGACGCAAACCAAGGGCTCGGGCAAGCATCGCATCATCGACAACGCGGCCGAGGGAGGTCAGTCGGCCGCTTCGTCCGATGCCAACAAGCTAGTGCTCTGTTTTCTCTGCGTCCCGCCCAGCACCTCAGAGCAACTGTGTGCCTCATGTCCGAGGAGGAACTTGTGGGCGTGCCAGGGACGAGGACGCCTGGGAGACGGGCGGCGAGGATTGGCCGAATGCCTATCGTCACTCGCCAATGTCTTCGGCGGAGGCTCGTGCCTGCGTGGTGTGTTTCTGGCATCACGAGTGGCAACAACCGGCCTTCCAGCTGTACGCGGGATTGTTGTTCGGTCTTCCGTTGGCCGTAACATCTTTCAATCGCTACTCGAGACTCGTGGAAGCGCTCGGCAGACGGCTCGTATCGGTTCTGGTTTCCCTCTATTTTGACGACGCGAATTTGGGAGACTGGGCTTCTTCTCGTGGTTCAGGAAGTTCAGGCCAGTGGGCCTTCGAGCAGCTGAACGGTATGCTGGGCACACCGTTTGCCGAGTCGAAACGTCAACCCATGTCCAGCCGGGGGGACTTTCTTGGCCTCTCTCACGACGTGTCCAAGGCCCTGTCCGATGGAGTCATCAGGTTTTGGCCACGCGACCGGATCGTCCAGAAGGTCGAGGACATGCTTTCTGAGGCCGAGTCCAGTTCATGCCTCCACCCAGGTCAGGCCTCGAAGCTTTATGGAATCCTGAACTTCTTCGAGCAAGGAGTCTATGGCAAGGTCGGAGCTGGTAGCCTCTGGGCCATCAAGGAGCGGCAGTATGAGACCCTCACGCAGGTCACCCCGGACTTGCTGGACAACTTCAGGTACGTGCGAGCTGTCATTCGCGCGAGGCCAGAGCGTCAGTTGCCGGTCTTTTCCCTCCCGTGCGGCCGTTTTGTGTGCGCCTTGGACGCAGCTGAGGAGCCGGCTACCG